TTAAAATATTTCTTTAACTATATTTTCAGCAACAATTGAAATGGGAGAGCCTGGACCAGGGGTCACACACCTGCGCCATGCCACTAACCATACAGTATATAGATGTGCCAGTTCATACAACGAAAGGGGCGCAGCTGAGCTTGCAGCGAACGTTCCCAGATCTTCGGCTTTGGGAATGGCCGCGTTGGGCTCATGACGTCACACGAGCCGACTGACAGCAAGCATGCATGTGTTGTGTACGTGTACACTCCAAAATATATGATTGTATGCATAGAATAATTTTTAGCTGCCGAAACCGACTTTGTTCGAGATTTCAGTTTACGTAAACGTGTGTGTGCCATGTATTCACACATACTGTGCTTGTGTGTGGGCTCTACAATTGTTGGCCGCTTGAATTGGTTTTTCGTTTTGTTTTGAGGGCTGATGTGATGTAGCGACCTATTCAGGGCCGGATCAACCCTCAACCGGGCCCGGGCAACCATCAATCTGGGGCCCTCCTTTATTTTGTATTTATCTCAGTGGCTATTATATTTTTTATTCATTATTTGGAGTTTTGTTTTTTCAACAAAATTTTTCTGTTATCCCTAGGAGGCCCTAGGCAACTGCTAATCCGGCCCTGGACCTATTCCTGTCGTAAGACTTAATATTTTCTTGGTGTATTCTGTCGCTTTCTGTTGACGAAGCCGAAAGCAGAGGCAAAGGCTAGCCTAAAAGAGAACCGCGCGCCCGTCGCAACATCAGCTTTTCAAAACAAAACGAAAAAATATTTTATGAACCGCTTCGTCAATGCCTCAACCCGCGTCGAGTCGAGCTACAGATATACTGTATGGTTAGTGCTGGGACTCTCAGTCCTAAACAAATAATTTTATCCGATAAATACATAAATTTTCTGCAAGATTGGCAAGTTTTCACGACAAAACACCGATATTAACATACCAAATGAAGTATCTGATCATTGCAGATTCATCGTCGTGCGACCACTCAATTCGCTTTAGCGATAAAATAACAAAACAAAAAATAGAATTACTAGCTAGTTGGCCCTCTCAGCCGTAAAAAATTAAAGTCTGTTTCGGAAGAAACCACTCTTCCTCGTCAGCGATCTTTACTTTTTCAATAAAGAAAAAGATGGTAAATCGGACAGCCTACATTACTGCAGGTGCTATCATAACTTATGAGTAAGTTTTTAAATTAAAGGGGTAACGCTTAGCATTTTGTAATTATTTTTTAATCACAGAAGCCATCGTTTATTATGCCTTTTATTTTTTTGGCATATGGACAATTCTTTTCAGAATATATTTGCCCTTCCTTCATCCATTGTTCTTTCTTTTTTTTATTTTTTTCAGCGATACTCCTCTTTATGTCTAATTGTAAGTTTTTAGTGTTTGTCATTGAGCCACATAAAGTTATAAGAAACAAAAAATTTGATCAAGTGTTCTAAGATTTGTTGTCTATGGGAAGAGCATGGATCGGAAGCCTTAAACAAATTTGCATCAGTCCTAATGAATTTTTGAACAATATTGTTTGAGCATGGAGTTTTACTGAAGATTTCTGAAAATATTCCAATGTGCTGTTCCATTGAATGTTCAAAAAGCGCTTCAGTTGGATTTATAATTTTTCCAATTTTTTGTACATCTGCAATCACTTTTCTTTGATAGATAGTGCATTCAATATTTAGCTTGCACAGAACAATTCCTAAAGTGTTTCTCACAGCAGAGCGCTTAGCAATTTTAACAATTGGTCGCCGTAATGTTTCTGTTTGAAAGAAAAGTAAGCATTCTCGATTGAATTTCCCTTTGCAAGGTTTTTAGAAAGCTGCAGCAGCAATTGGGCTACTGTTGGTCTTTCGTATTGCCATCCAATACTGCGTTTCAAGTTAACAAAATATTCTTCTAGGGAATCTTGATTGAAACCCCTGATATTAACGCTAACAATTTCTTTTATTTCTAAAAGATTTTCAGAAACAAGATTGATTCTTTTGCAAGTTTCAATCAGCCTTGTCAGGCATGTTGCTTGAGATTGTGATCCGGTAGTATTTTTTGGACCGAATTAAATCTTTCCCAAATAACTACAGAAGTCCTCTAAGCGAGTTTTAAATGATTTATCATCTTGGGAATAATTATGGTTCAATAAATCGAAACCATCATTCATTCTTTTAGAAACATCGATGTAGCAAAGGCTTCATCTTTGTCGTCAAAAGAATTGCAATCAGCAAACATTTTAATGCCCGTACTGACCGTACTAACGGCCAATGAAGTATTCATTGTATCATATCCTTTCGGATCGATGTGTTTTAGCGTTAGTTTTGGTGCCAAACGAAATAAGTTTGATGAATCGACTTCATAAAACTTTTCAATGATTTTCCATGACGCTTTACCGTCTGGTGTAATCAGGTCATGTGTCAAGAAGTTATTTCTAACACTCTTGAACAAATGTATGTAATCACATACGAATTGAGGTCTTGGCGCATTTAGTAAATTTGCTGAGTTTATTTTATTTAGAGCAACCGTTGACTGATCGCAAACCAAAGCTCGGACATTAAAGCCGACTGTTTTGCAACAGTTAACTGCTTTTTTAATGGCTTCGGGGTAATGATAATTTACATTTTTGTTAACAAAAACTGCAGTAACAAAATGACTATAATCATTAACCAGCCCTCGTACCATGAATGCTAACATTCCGGTTGCTTGGGAGGAGTATTGTTCCTTATCGGAAATACCGTCTCTCAGATCTATATAGCCAACAGCTCAGTCAGCCATAGGCAGATACTCAATTTTAGGTTGGATGAACATTTCATAAAAAACTAGCGCACAATTTCTGTGACTCTCATCACTAACCATACAGTATAGAGATGTGCCAGTTCATACATCGAAAGTGGTGCAGCTGAGTTTTCAGCGTATGTTCCCAGGTCTTCGGCTGTGGGGCCGATCGCGTTCGGCTCTGGGAATGACCGCGTTCGGCTCATGGCGTGAAACAAAACAAAACGAAAAACCAATTCAAGCGGCAAAAAATTTTAGAGCCCACACACAAGCACAGTATGTGTGAATACATGGCACACACACGTTTACGTAAACTGAAATCTCGAACAAAGTCGGTTTCGGCACCTAAAAATTATTCTATGCATGCAATCATATATTTTGGAGTGAACACGTACACAACACATGCATGCTTGCTGCCAGTCGGCTCGTGTGACGTCATGAGCCCAACGCGGCCATTCCCAAAGCCGAAGATCTGGGAAAGTTCGCTGCAAGCTCAGCTGCGCCCCTTTCGTTGTATAAACTGGCACATCTATATACTGTATGGTTAGTGGCCATGCTTTACACCTTCAAAAGAAGCGGGTGATTTGCAAAAATAATAAAAATAAAGCTACTAATAATTGTCAATAGTTATTAAGATTTAGATTTAAGCCAGGAAGGAATTTGTTGTTTTTTTTTCGCCACTGAAGGTGTTTTTTGTTTCTTTAATTTAAATTTAGGTTTAATGCCACTGAATGTTCTGTTTTTTTTTTTGAAGTTGTCTTATTATAAATATAAAATGAAAAGAAAATAAAAAAGGTGTTTTATTGAGCCTAGACCATTCGCTGCCCAGCCAGCCTAGCCGTGGTCTAGGTAACGTGGACCAGTCAATGGTCTGGTATATTCAGCCTAGCCCGGTGTCGAGGCAACGTGGGCCAGTCCATGGTCCGGTATACTCAGCCTAGCCTGGTGTCTAGGCAACGTGGGCCAGTCCATGGTCTGGTATACTCAGCCTAGCCTGGTGTCTAGGCAACGTGGGCCAGTCCATGGTCTGTTAGCCCTAGGGGGGCCCTCGGCAACTGCCAATCCGGCCTTGGACCTATTCCCGTCGTCTGACTTCATATTTCGTTTGCGTATTCTGTCGCTCGACTCGACGCGGGTGAGGCATTGACGAAGCCGAAAGCAGAGGCAAAGGCTAGCCTAAAAAATATGGAAGAAATACCCCGCGCGCCCGTCGCAACATCAGCTTTTCAAAACAAAACGAAAAAATATTTTATGAACGCTTTGAAAAAATGTACACATCTAGTAGAACATTTTCCAGAGCTTTAGCGAATCTAATTTTCAAGATAATTTTAGTTTAGGAGATATGAGCAGAGATAACAACCTTTATTTTTATATATTGTATTTATTTCCCATCCCCACCCACTCTGCCCATTCCTCATTTATGTTGCGGCAGATCAGCTCAGGTCGCTACATCAGCCCTCACAACAAAACGAAACGAGAAGGAACGTGCGAGTCGCTTCTGGGGACGCGACTCACACTTGTACCCGTACTCAGTCAGTATATACATTTTTAAGCATATAATTTATTAAAATTTTGGAATAAAAAAAAAAATTTTACATTTTGCATTTTTTTGCTACATATGTTATCTACATCTACATCTACAATGTATATTCTACATCTAACATGTAGATTATAGATGTTCCATATAGATTCTACATCTCCTCCGCTAGGGGTTGCTCGCGCACTGAACGCGGCAGAGTGTGTGGGCGAGAAGGAAAATGAGTTGCGTTGTTGTTGGCAGGAGGGGGCAGGGGAAGCAACAGAAAATTAATTCTGGCTATAATTATGATCCGATCTAGTTCAGATTCGGCAGTCTGGTAGATATGGGCATTTCTACGATACTGCGTTTTTAGTTTTATCGTATCTTTAAAAATGTGGGGGCGGGGCGAAATTTTGAATACACTTGTAGCAGTGGGATATCACATGAGTCTGGAAACCAAATTTGGTTGCCCTAGCTCTTATAGTCTCTGAGATTGGGGCGCTCATCGGGACGGACAGACAGACAGACGGATAGACAGACATGGCTATATAGACTCGGCTATTGATGCTGATCAAGAATATATATACTTTATGGGGTCGGAAACGTTTCCTTCTCTGCGTTACACACATCCACTTTTACCACAAATCTAATATACCCCTTAACTCTTTTTTGAGTACGGGTATAAAAATGTATATACATAATATTGTTTATTTGTTTTTTAATGGTTATTCCTCGGCCTCGGCGCGGGCCACCTGCACAGCCCAACGCTCATGGGACACCACTGGCTCATCATCGTCAGGAGGGGCATGGACCACTGGAGCGGCATTGATGACTGGAGCGGCACGGACCATGGAAGCGGCATGGGCGATTCGAGCGGCATGGATGACTGGGGCGGCATGGACGACTGGAACCGCATGGACTATACGAGCGGCATGGGCGATGGAAGCGGCATGCGCGATACGAGCGGCATCGGCCACTGGAGCGGCAGGGACGACAGGAGCTTCATCGGCAGGGACGCGTCCACCATGTCCACGCCCACCATGTCCACGTCCACCATGTCCACGCCCACCATGTCCACGTCCACCATGTCCACGTCCACCATGTCCATGTCCACGTCCACGTCCACCATGTCCATGTCCACGTCCACGTCCACCATGTCCATGTCCACGTCCACGTCCATTTGAATTCCCAAAGTTGGCTGCGTTTAACATGTTCGAAATGTTTAACCGGCTCAGCCGGTTCGATTCGGTTGCGCCGTGTTCGCTCGAAGGACGGCCTCCAGGGCCCGATTAAAGGCACGCCGATCTCTCGACGCCCTTCCCGGTCCCTGGTAGACACGACCGTCGTGTCCCCGTCTTCCTCGCTGTTGGTTGTCCATATTCTGTAATAAAAGAAAACAGAATGAAAAGTTTGATTACAAATGCATATGTATGTGTGCATATGCACGTGTCTCGGTGCCATAACGGTAAAATGTTGACATACATATGTGAACGCAAAACATCTTGCAAGCACATATGTACATAGCAAAGTATATGTCGTATGTGTATGTACATACATGCAAAGCAAGGCGCTGAAATGTATATACATACACATACACACATTATTTTGACCGTTACGTTATGCCGTATGTGTATGTATATGCAAAGCAAGGCGCTGAAATGTATATATGTACATACACATATACTTTTTCTACCGTTACCGTTACCGTTTTTTTAATTCCATTTATTTAATTAATCTAGTTATCTATTTACAATTAGTTTACTAGACTATGCGAGCCCGACAAGTGTGGTACGGCCGCGAAGCAATGCTTCACACGCTTAGCCTTGCTGCTCCCTTCTCTGGCGCTCAACAGCGCGCAGTTCTGCCATGATGGTGGCCGCGAAGTTGCTGATCGCCTCCCAGTTACCAGGGGGACCTTAGCATGTACGGCACCAGGCTATGTTTGGATATCGCCCCTCCCAGGGTGACTTCCAGCTGATGACGCTGCGCTGTAAACCTGCACTCTGCTGAGTCCTCATGCCCGAAACGATGCAGGTAGCTGCGAAAGCAGCCGTGGCCGCTAGGAGCTGTGTCAAATAGAAATTGACCTGGCCATGCTTCCTATCAACCCACGCTTCGATGGATGGGATGAGTTGGTGAGTCCATCGACCTTTAGGGGACGTATCCCAGCGTTGTTGCCACTTCCGGAGGCTCTGCAGCTTGCAAGCCTTGCGCACCTGCCGTTTGTCCGCTGCTTCCATGCCTCTGCCATGCGTATCCAGATGGTAGGTGGACCGCTCCTCCGCTAGGTACTCAAACGGTGCTATACCCGCTATCACGTGGGCAGCATCGTCCGAGACTGTTCGGAAGGCACTAACTATTCGAAGTGAAGAGAGTCGGTGAGTGGCTGCCAGGCCTCTGGTGTTAGCTCGCTGTCTGGAGGGCCTTTGTCCAGATTGGCGCTGCGTAAAGCATCACCGATCTCGTCACACTCGATAGTAGATGTCGTCGCCATTGCTTGGGTCCTCGGGGTATTCAACATCATCCTTGACAGAGCTCTGTTGCTGGATGCCGCCTTCGAGTTCATGTAGGCCAGATGCTCTCGAAAACAGTCGTGTGTCTATCAGGACGCCAAGGTACTTGATAGCCCGCTTTGATGACACTAGGGTGCCTGCCACTGTGATGCTGGCCGTCTCCACTTTCTTCCGGCTGGACACCAGTACTGCCTCGGCTTGTGAGGAGCGAGTTCAAGCCCGACCAGCTCCAGCCACTGTTGGATGAGCGCAATCGTCAGGTTGCAGGTCGTCTCTACTGCGGCCAAGTCTTTAGCCACTACCAGGACAGCCACGTCGTCCGCAAAGCCCACCACATGCACTCCGTGGGGGAGGCTGAGTCGCAGAATGCCGTCGTACATTGCGTTCCACAGTAAGGGACCCAGTACCGACCCCTGCGGAACGCCTCCAGATACCTCGTATTGTTCCGTGCCGGCCTGAGTGTCGTACAAGAGCAGCCTTTCCTCAAAGTAGTTTCGTACCATGCGCTGAAGGTACATGGGTGTATTGAACCTCCCTAGCGCCCTCAAGATACAGCTCCATCTCGCCGTGTTGAACGCGTTCCTGATGTCCAGCGTGGCCATTAGGCAGTACTCCTTGCAGCCGCCTTTCCACCAGAGTGCGGGCGATTGCCCTAGATGTAATGTCTACCACTCTACCCACGGCGTCAGTCGTGGATCTGGCCTTGCGAAAACCGTATTGATGCAGTGATAGGTCGCCAGCCTCCGCGATGGCTCGTTCTAGTCGCGAGCATACCACTTTCTCGAGCAGTTTGCCCGCTGAGTCGATCAAGCAGATTGGCCTAAACGATGACGCTATCCTGGCGGCTTGCCTGGCTTGGGAATGAGCACTAGCTTCTGCATCTTCCACCTCTTAGGAAAGACTCCTTCGCGAAGGCACTGGTTTAGCAGCTTCACGAAGATTTCCGGGCGCAGGGAAAGGCGAGTATGAAGTACATATCCGGCCCCGGTGCCTTGTTCGGGCCAATGCTCCTGGCTGCAATAGCGATTTCTTCGAGAGTCACCTCCTCGATGTGGGCCTGTTGTAGCGGTGGGATCAGGCAATGGACCTCCTCTATGTGATCCGACATGCGCGGAAAGAGCTCCTCCACAATGGATCTGGCCATGTCGGGGTCCGATGGGGGTGCTTGTTTTTGGCGCACAGCTTTTTTGTTACCAGCTTGTATGCCATTCCCCATGGATCTTGCTCAGCAGAATCGCATAGCGTCAGAAAGCACTGGCGTTTGCTTTCCTTAATGGCGGCCTTGAGAGCCCTCCGGCAGTCTCTAAAGGTAGCCTGCCATTGCGAAAAGTCCGTGCTACCCCCGCGAGCGCTGGTAGCGGAGTCGTGCGTGGTTGCATTCCCGGCGTGCCTCGGCAATGTTTCTCGTTCCACCAGAACACTGGTTGGTGGTGGTACGAACCGCTATGTACATACATACATTCGTATGTACATATGTCCGATTTATTGCGGACGCAGTTTACTTTTCCGCGGTTTATACGAAAAGGTAGGAAACAGTAATATAAACATTTGAACGCATGCGGCAGAAAAGTAAACTGCGCCACTGAAAACTTAACATATAGCTTTACTAAATTGCACTCACCAAGTTTGGCTACAAATTCACAAACGCTTACACGTTCAACTTCACTCTACTCTGTTTGCCGGAATGATCCTGAACGATCCTAATCGATGTTTGAACCGAATATATCGAATACAATACTCGATTGCTTGAGTATCAAGCGCGCTGCTGTTACTAGCTAACAGCGGGCTGTTAAATAACATGAGGCATTTCTGTTATCTTTTACCACCCCATAAACCACACAAACTAACCACAAGCCAGCTAAAAGGCTTCCCTAGGCCACATATTGTGGTCACCACGTATCATCCACCACGCTACCCATGGAAATACACCTGTAAACGCCTTGGGATGGAGTTTTTTGGTTTTATTAGGTATCTTGATATTGGTATTTAATATCTGCGGTGCGACATATTTCTGGTTAAAATCATCATCATTATGTAAAGCAAAAAAATAGACAAAAAATACTTTTCACCAAAAATTCAACCCCTTTTCGTTTGCTTTGTTTCCAATTGGCAGTTTGGCCCGCAACCTTCCAAAAAGTATTTTTTGTCTATTTTTTCACTTTTGAGGTTTGGTTAACGAATTTTAGCTTTAGTTAATGCGTCTATCTAAAACTAAAAATGCATGCCAAGAATTATTTTTCTTTCGACTTTTCTCGAATTTTTAAAGTCAAAATTTCGAAAAAATACCGAAAAAAATTATGAAATTTGAATTTGAAAGCTTAATATCTTCCAGGCGTTAAGCTTCAGATACAAAGTTTCTGGATACGATTTATAGTTGCATTGGGCTCCTTTTCAGAACTGCAAAGTTCAATGCAACCAGATGTAATAATAATTAAGTTATGTGAAAAAAAGCATTCATTTCAGGTAAAATTATTTGTGTAACACAAATAACACTAGTCAACACTAGAATTAGGCTGTGGCCCAAAATTTAGATTCTTATAGATTTTGGGGTTTACAAATTTTAAACGAACTATGGTTTTTTTTTATGGTGTAGTTTTTTTTACAGAATTTTTTAAAATCTGGTATTTTTTTTTTTTGTTTTTTTTCAGAGGTAGTGCTTCTATTTTTCACATAATTTAAGTATTTTATATCTGGTTGCATAGAACTTTGCACAAATTTTATGGAGTAATTGTAGTACTGACCCAATTAAGGTATTACGCCTTAAAACAGTTACTTATAGTACCAATTCAGCACCTTTCCTAGCAGTTAGATGTCTTTACTATTTAGCGGATCAATTTGGGGAATCGGTTCCATTAGCTAGTGAAGCTGTAAGGCAAAACTTCTACATGGATGATATGCTAGCTGGAGCGAGCTGTTACGAGAAGCTAAATTAATTAAAAAATGAAGTTACCGAGTTGTTAAAGTTGCGACTCGAGCTTCATAAGTGGCGTTCTAACAGCTATTGTGATGGAGATCGTGCAGACGCAGTAGAACCGTTAGAGCTACAGGTAACAGATACAGCAAAGACGCTTGGAATATATTGGGCTTCGAGGGTTGATAAGATTCAGTTTTCGTACGTCGCAAGTAATTCGGACAGCATTACGAATCGTAACGGGATATCAGAGTTAGCACAGTTGTTTGATACAATAGGATTTCTAAGCCCGCTTCTGATTTTAGGAAAGATTTTCATGCAAGAACTGTGGCTGCTAAAGCAGCAATGGGATGAGGAGTTGCCGCCAAGCTATGAGCTACAATGGCAAAAATACAGAAGCGAATTGGAACTTGTTCATGAGTGTTCGTTGCCTCGAGCTGTAATGCCAGTCCATGCAGCGGCAGACAGAATTGAGCTGTATGGGTTTTCAGATGCCTCTTGTAGAGCTTACGGAGCGGTGGTATATGTTCGCGTCATTGATAAGCATGGAGGCATTTCAGCAAAATCGACGGTTGCACCTGTTCGAGTAGTATCGCTACCTAGATTAGAACTAGAAGGTGCGAGACTGTTAGCGCAGCTTATGGCAAAAATCAAAAGGTGTGCACCCGAATCGTTTTCTAAGGTCGGTTACTTTACAGATTCGACAAATGTTTTGAGTTGGATTGCATCGCATGCTAGTCGTTGGACAACCTTTGTGGCTAACAGAGTAGCTATAATTCTAAAGCTGTCGAACGCATAAGAGTGGTACAAAATAGAATCGAAGCAAAATCCGGCAGATATCGTTTCTCGAGGGCTGTACACAAGTCAGCTAAAGGCTTCGTCGTTGTGGTGGCAAGGGCCACAATTCTTGCAGTTACCGGATGAGCAGTGGACACTTGTGGAATGGCAACGTCCAGAGGGCTCCCCGAACAGCGAAACAACAAATTTAGCCTGCTAGCCTGTCCAAAGATTATAGTAGATGTAGTAGATATAATAGGAGGTAGCAAATATGCTAAAGATTTTTTAAAACTAACGAGAGTATTTGGTTATGTTTATCGTTGGCGTCAAATTGCACAAAGGATTGATTCGACTAGAGCTAAAGAGCTAACGGCAAGCGTTAAGTTTTTACACTGAGATCGAAAAATTTCGCAGTGGCAAAATTATAAGTTCTTCAAGCACTTAACCCGTTTCTAGACCAGTCTGAGGGTATAGAAATAATTCGTGTAGGTGGCAGGCTGTCTAAGGCTAATGTACCATTTGACACCAAACACCCCATGCTTTTACCAAATAATCATATTGTTGTAAAATCATTGTTTGAATATACTCATCGAAGCAACATTCATGTCGGAGCACAAGTGTTATGTGCTTTTGTGCGACAGCGTTTTTGGGTCATCAATGCTAGAAAACTAGCTCGCAGTACGGTAAGGAGTTCGTTGCATGTTTTCGACGAATGTCCAATATTAGCTACGCAAATTATGGGTCCTTACCAGCAGGCCGAGTGCAGCAAGGAGTGAAGCCCTTTGAACGTACTGGACACGACTACGCTGGACCGCTATGGATGCACTTCAACCAAAGAGGACGACGGCCTATCAAGGTTTACTTATGCGTCTTCGTGTGCTTTTTGAGTAAGGCTTGTCATCTCAGAGCTTGTGTCAGACATGAGCACAAACGCATTTATAGCCCCACTCAAATGATTTTTTGCTCGTCGTGGTGCTTCACGGGAGCTGAAGGCGATAGCGGATTTTATCTGGAATGACAGTAACAAGCACAAAATTGTGGATCAGTGTAGCCAACTCGGTGTAAGTTTCCATTTATCCCCCCCGATCGCCGCATTTTGGAGGACTGTGGGAGAGCGCGGTGAAAGTAGCGAAGCAATTATTGGTGCGAAGTTTCGATAGCACAGCGCTTAACTACGAAGAACTGGTCACAGCGATACCACAAGCAGAGGCAGTGATGAACTCACAACCGCTTCACCCACTCTCGTCGGACAGTAATGACTTAGGCATTGTATGCTACCTCTCATCGGAAGTTGGGCAGTTGGTATTTTGCATTATTAGCGTCGGGCTTGTTGATTCGGTGGAACAAAATGTAAGCGTTGCTGTTGCTGTTATATTCATGGATTACATTGGGACAATCTATGTCAACGTACTTTTTTTCAGAGCGAACAAAACGTAAAACCTGACCTTTTGAATTCGTTTCATTCAGGAAAGGCTTTGTGCCTGCTTAAGTCGAAGCAAGTCGCACCGCTTTATTGTCCTTCCAAACCGTCAAAGACATTTCGACTCCTGATGCAGATCCACAAAATTCAGTGGAATGTCCACGCACTTGTTTCTTGAGGTCGCTATCAGTTGGCAGCTTACAGTTTGGAATGCGATTCGAGCGAATAGTTCCCAATGAAAATATTCCCCGGGACTTGAGATTTTCAAGAAGTGGAAAAGATGTATAATAATTGTGAAAGTAAATAATCTGGTTTTTTGAAATCCGGAACAATTTTGACAATCGGACGACTACATTTGCTGACGCAGCAAGATCTGGTGAGCCAGTTTGCACAACGTTGTCTCCTGCGCCGCAATATATCTCAAAATTATAGCAAAAGCCAAAAAAGTCACACAAATTGAAGAATTTCACTCCCCATTTTTGTGGTTTGTCTGGTAAATATTGTCAAAGGAAAGTCTTCATCTTCGTTGCACACATTTGTTCATCCACACATAAGCGTTGGGTAATCGGAACTTAATGAAACTTTTCATTGAAGTGATACACGATTGGTCTTATTTTGTATAAGAGATCGTGGTCGGCAGAGTCCTTGGAGGGCAACTTACTATTATCATTGAAATGCAAATTGCTTCTTATTTGTTCAAAGCGATTTCCTGACATTGTCATTTTAAATGTTCCAAACGCATACTCAACCCAATATGAACGAACATTCGGTATCGAAAAACTGACATAAAAAATATAATGCCAATAAATTGTCGAATTTCCAAATTGGTTGTTGAAAACGAAGTATTCACATTTTTTGGGCAGCATACAAATTTGTTTGCTGAGTAATATGCTCATAGTATCATTCAAAAAGTATTCAAAACACTTAAATGGCGTATCAAGCTTTTTGAGATCTCCTAGGTCAAGCTCAGTAAAGGAAATCGCAGATTTATCCAAGACTAAATTCTTTTGGCGCCACAATATCTTTTTGAACTTCG